GCCTGTAGGAGACAGAACTAGACACTGACAAAACAAACCTGGCCGAGGCTGGTTGTTTGTGGGGCCCAGGTTAACTGGTGATGAATCTCCATTTGATAAACAGGGGGTCAGCCCCAAGCCTGAGCACGGGAGCATCGTGGAGCATCCTACGGGCTGGGGTGGATGGGAACCGTAAGACACTGCGTACTTCAGAGAGCAGTCAGTCTCCTTGGAGCCAGACACACGTGGGTTTGAATCCTGCCTCTTTCACCTGCCAGCTGTGTGAATATGAGTGAGGTGTTCATCTCATTGAGCCTTGGTTTCCTCATCTGTAAAATGGAGCTTCAATAGAACACCCCCATGTGGTCATTACCAGGATTCAGTGACAAATGTATGTAAGGTATGTAAGGCCCTCCAAATAGGATCTGGCTCACAGTCGCAATAATTACACCCATCCTTGTCACTGTCCTCATGCAACCTCAGGGAACTTGGAGAGCCCTTGGCTGAGGCACCCGGACTCTCTGCTGCCCTCTGGCAGTGAGACTCAGCACACACTTGGATGGAGAAAGCTGGGAAGTGTTACTTTGACAGCAAGAAAATAGCTTAGGGTTTTAGTGCTTTCTTGAAAACCTCCAAGAATATCCATGGAACTTTTCAAAAACAGGAGAAGAAAATACCCCAGAGGCTCTAAAAGCAGCATGGTGTCTTCCTTGTATTCGAGGTTGAGCAGGAAAGGTTGTGTGGGCTTCCAGATCCTGGCAGGACAGGCAGGAGGTGGTGACCCAGGAGAGAAGGGACCTGGGCGAGAGGGGAGTGGGGACTGAGGCTGGGGCTGGGCTCTGTGGACATGCATCTGGGGCATGGCTGATGCTCCCGGGCCTCCTCTAAATCCCCCAGCGTTCTCTACTTCTGTTTTTGGGGCTCTGCTGTGGCTATCCCATCTCATCACACTGGGACATGGTGGCCACAGGCCATGTCAGGGCCGGCATGAAATCAACACCTTTTATTTTTCTTGCCTGATTATGACTTGCAATCTGCCATGAGCCTTCCCAGGACTGTCAGAGGTCTTGATCAGGGATCTCCTCCTCTGAGCCTGGGTGAGGCACCTGCCCCTTTCGGGCTGCCCCAGAGCCTGCCATGAGTCCATCTGGCAGTCAGACCAACAGGTGATTTCAGGCAGCTTCTTTGCCTCCCTTGGAGACTGAGTTACTGGAGGGGCCATCTCCAACATGCAGCACAGAGCAGACATTTAAACATGAAACAGTAGCTGGGTGAATGAATGGTTGAACTCTGTCCTTGGATAAAGGAGCACAGCACAGTTTGCATATAGCAGTAGCTCAGGAATGCGTGAAGAAAGCGTGTTCTCCAGGATCTCCCTATGATCCTAATATTAATTAAACTGTGTTTGAGTACCTCATAAGTGCTATCACAGATTCTGCAAAGTTTTTACAAAGCAGCATGTGACACAGCCCCTGTTTCTGAGAAGGGCCTCTCCTTAGATGCTCAGGTTAAAATAAAACTGTTAAATTGTAGTGCAAGTTATGTAATAATTCAGGACCAAAATGAATCCCCCATATGGATATTAGAGTTGATACTGGAGGCAGGGTCTGCTTCATGGGCTTGTGGCATGTGAGTCACACAGAGCGTGTCTGGAGAGGGCCCCATGCTTGGTTTAATGCCCTGCTGTGGCCATCTAGAAATTCTTTTTTTTTTTTTTTTTGAGACGGAGTTTCGCTCTTGTTACCCAGGCTGGAGTGCAATGGCGCGATCTCAGCTCACCGCAACCTCCGCCTCCTGGGTTTAGGCAATTCTCCTCCCTCAGCCTCCTGACTAGCTGGGACCACAGGCACGCGCCACTGTGCCCAGCTAATTTTTTGTATATTTAGTAGAGACGGGGTTTCACCATGTTGACCGGGATGGTCTCGATCTCTTGACCTCGTGATCCACCCAGCTCGGCCTCCCAAAGTGCTGGGATTACAGGCGTGAGCCACCGCGCCTGGCTAGAAATTCTTAATAATTTTTGAACAAGGGGCCCTGTATCATTTTTTTTTTTTTTTGCACCTGGCGCTGCAAATTACATGGTCAGTCCAGGGTGACCAGGAGAAGCTCCGAGTGGAGGAGATCTGAGAGGGGTCAATGAGGGGGAGGAGTCAAGCTGCAGGGCTGGGCTGGAGCACTCTGAGGACATGGCCATGCTGGTGTCAGCCCACCGCAGCACCAGGCCTGCTGAGAATGAGCCTGTGGGAAGTCAGGGGCAATGGCATGTGGCTCCAAAACAAGCCTGACTGTGAGGAGGTAGTGGCTGCAGAGGAGGTGGGGCCTGCCCCTTGTGCAGAGGAGAAGCTCCCTCTTAACCAGGGAAACGTGTGAGAGCCACGAATGCAGGGCCCACTCTGAAAGGCCACCTGGTCTCGTTTTGCTGCGCTAAGATGACTCTCTTTGCTGGAAGGTGGCAGGTGGACACCCCACAGGGATATGGGAGACCCAGAGGAGAAAAGGTACCGGAAAGAGGTCTGTAACCCCCGGAAAGAAAATTCTTCTCCGGAGCCTCGCGCAGTTCCGGGTGCCTGTGGATCCTCATTTGGTGTTTCGTGAAGTGTTTGAGCTCAGAATCTATTCTCAGTGGTTGGGCTAATCCCTGTCTGCTGGAGGAAAGGGCCCAAGGTCTCCCTGGAAGCATAGCCCAGCCTCTGTTCTCCTTGGACCCCACCTCTGTAGGGAATGGAGACATTTACACACAGCCTCTCCACCCTTTCTGCTCTTTGACCCACTGAGGCTTGAGTTCCAGGGCTCCCTCTATTCTCCTAAGCAAAGCGCTTCCCTTGTCTGGGCACCTGCAACGTATCACATCGTGGGAGCACAGTTAGAGCATGCAGGGCCAGTGCTTGGGTGAGTTCCTGGATCAGTGGCTGGCCCGCTGTGAGGTGACACTGTTACTGTTACTAATGATCCAATCTGTGACTTGGGACATCAGAGAAGGGAGGGACCATCCAGGCCAGCAGAGTTGGAGGAGGGTGCCCTAGCTCTAGAGCCACAGGCAGGTCGAGGAGAACCTCAGTAAGGACAGGGAGTGTATGTGGCTTGTTCACAAGCAGTACCTGAGCCCTGTACTGTCTTGTAGTGGCTTTTGTTCTGGGTGTCCGGGGCTCTTCAGCCAGCTTTGTACATTGGCCTTCCCTTCTGAGGCTCCACTGGTGCTGCTCTGAGGCTGGGCAGGTTTTGCGGTTCCCAACAAGAGGCTGAGCCTCTGCTCTGCCTTGCCCTGGCATGCACTGTCTTATGGGGCTCTCCCACTCTGTTCTGTCTGTTGGTATCAGGGTTTCCCTCACCAGTCTACCTCCTTTCTCTGTAATGAAGGGAAAGGCAGGACCACCCTGGGCATTCATGGTCTCCAGCTCACTGTGGCCTCAGCCCACCCCTCCTCTACCCCTCAGCAGAAAGGCTGCCAGGCATTGGAGGGTGTGATAAGTGGTCGCTTTGTGACTTTGGGCAACTTTTTTAACCTCTCTGATCTTCAGTTTCCTCAGGAATGCATGTGGTATAATTTGTGGTGCCAGGAGGAAATAAGGTGGTGATGACAGCATTTGTGGCAGCACCTTGTAGGGCCCTGCTAGGACAGGGTACTTGCTGGGTGTCCTCGTCAGTGTGTGCAGAGCCAGCGTGTCAGGAAGCTGTCTGGGGAAGTGAAAGGGACATGGGTGACTGGCTCTCAGTTGCAAGTGTAGCAGACAGGGTGGAGGCATGTCCCCCTGAGCAGTCCTGCTGGGTGTGGAGAACCCAGGGAGGGCAGAGGGGCCTGTTTCAGGGCCTGGCTGACTTAGGGTACAGTGAGATGCAGGGCTATAGGTAGTTGGTACAAAGTGCAAAGTGGCTTGCCTGATGTTATGCTTATTAAATAGCTTCTGGCTGGGCATGGTGGATCATGCCTGTAATCCCAGCATTTTGAGAGGCTGTGGTGGGAGGAGGATCACTTGAGTCCAGGAGTCTGAGACCGGCCTGGGCAACATAGGAAGACCCCATTTTGCCAGGCATGGTGGTATGTGCCTGTCGTCGAAGCTACTTGGGATGCTGAGGCAGGAGGATCCCTTGAGGTCAGGAGTTTGAGGCTGCAGTGAGCTGTGCTTGTGCCTGGGTGACAGAGTGAAACTCTGTCTCGGGGGGGGGGGGGCGGGGGGAGGGCTTCCATTACCATGTGCTCACCATGCCCTGGTATCCTGCTGTGCCTGACATGGGCCTACCTCCTGCAGTCCCTAGAAGTGCCATGAGGTGTGCCCTACTGTCTGCCTGTCCACCTGGCAGGAGCAGAAACAGCTGCAGTATCTCCCAGGCATGGCTCCCAGATGCCCAGCCCAAGTCCCACAGCCTCCTGGGCAGGCATTTCCCACCTCCCCGAGTCCCCCTGGCGTCTCGGGGCCCTGGACCCCAGGCCATCTTGACTGGCCCCATCTACTATCTTCTCTAAGTGGGAGAATAAGAGTGTGATGTGATCACCTCACTGAGCCTTGGTTTCCTCATCTGTAAAATGGAGCGTCAATAGAACCACCCCTGTTGTGGTTGTTACCAGGATTTAATGAGATAGAGCATGTAAGGCTCTCCACACAGGGTCTGGCTTGCAGCAGGCAATAATTACACCAGTCCTCGTCTGTCGCCGTCCTCACGCAGCCCCAGGGAACTTGGAGAACCCTTGGCTGAGGCGCCGAGGCTCTTTGCTGCCCTCTGGTGGTGAGGCTCCGCGCTGTCTTGCGCGGAGGAGGCTGGAATGGTGATCCAGTTCCCTGTGCTCCAACCTGCCCGCTGGGATAAACCTGCTGCAGGGGTAGGAAAGCCTCAAGGCCTGGCTTCTTGGCTTCCCAACTGTAATGACAGCTCCACACATTCCACAGAAGTGATGGTGCTAACAGGTATTTGGGAAGTACCAGTTTTCTTTCCCAACATCTTTGTATTTTTTCAGGACATGGCAAACATTTTATTGTCATCCCAGGTTAATCAAATAGAAAAAAGGCAGCAGGCTAGAATGTTGGTACATTTCAAATATATTTTATTACTTTCCATCTTAGAAAGAATATGAAACCTGCATGCAACGCTAATGGTTTCTGACATGTATGTAGCATATAACACAGCAGTACAATGCAGCGCATACTGGGGGATGGGCAGAGTGTGGAGGGGGTGTTCTTAAGGGTATATGTACAGAGGAAAGGGCACATGGTCATCTCAGCTTTAGAAACAGGACTGCACTGTTTAACATTGAAGAATTACATGGGGAGTCACAAATATATTGCTTTAGTACTGCATGTTCCATTGCAGCGAGGGAAAGAAACATGCTTTGAAGGTTTTCCCTTGTCAACAGAAAGTGTGTCTGTAGCTGTGTACTGCACAAGTATTCATATATTTTTAAGTTTTCTCCTAAGGTTTTTGCTGACAGTGTTGGGAAACTCACATGCTTCTGAAGCATTAAAGATTGAACCTGTGAACCTTTCAGAAACCCTCAGGTTGGGAAAGACCCCACACCTTCTTTAAGAATTATTTGCCTTGCCATCACAGGCTCTTGGAAATGTTTCCTAGAGTGTGTAAAAATTAACCAGGGAAGAATGAAGCACATTTTTTTTTCTGGCAACCAAACTTGAGCTCCTTAAAGAACAGATGCAGAGAGACCTGCTCCTGCTTGCCTGGCCACAGGGGCCACTGCAGAGTCACACTAAGGCTGTGACCGGCCATAAGCCCAGGAGAGCCCGTGGCAGCTGTGCCGAGGCTCCAGGACCTCTGAGCGGAAGCTTCCCAAGCTAGGAATGGAGCAACACAGCAATGAATTGTGTCCACCAAGCTCATTGTTCCTCCCGGGCGCTTATAAAGCTCAGATGTATAGTGACGTATGGACAAATACAGAAAAAGCATCTTTTAAAAAGGAAAGGCATGAGTTTTCCCCTTTTTGATAAAAAGCAGCCTGTGATGAAGCCTGGAGCACAAGAGAGATGGGTCTCACATCTGGAAGCCTTTCGCACGCAGCTATAAAATGTAAAAACTGACCCTTGGTAAAAAGTGCTTCATAACAATATATAATTTGTGTCTTATGCCTGTGAGAAAGAAAGGCTTTTTTTTTTTTTTTTTTTTTTAAATCTGCAAAGTCCTTTGCACAGTCTCCCAACTGGTCTGGAGTTTTCCTATCAGAGGTTTTTCACCCTATTCTTCGTAGACCCTGGGGAGAAAAAAACACACGTGTAAGTGGCTCAGGACACGAGGCAGGCAGTTCACAAGCTGCTGCTAAGTGGCTTTATTCATGTCTGGTCTGCAGGGAGTGCCCTTGTCCCAGGACTGCCCAAACCCCTGGGGGATGTGGGAGGGACCCTTCTGAGGATGTGGCCCCAGGGACCATGAAAACGCACACCAGTGTGGCTCTGTCCTTTCTAACCATCTGCAGTCTCACCTATGCAATCTCATTCTGTCCTCAGAGGCCTATGGAGCAAACCCGCTTTTCATGTGAGGAAACTGAGGCACCTCAGGCTTAAGATTTGCCCAGTGGCCATTGACTGTTAGTGGCAGGAATGCAGTCTTTCTCTAGCATGGTGGGCTCTCCCGCACCTCCTTGTTCCTTTCCGTGTCTGTACTCAGCCTCTCTATTTAGGGAAAATAGCAAGGGTGGGAGGCATTCTCTCCCTTGACTTAGGCTTTATATTTCTTTATATTTTGCCCAAAGAATGCATGTCCTCCAGAAGAATACTGGCTCTAGAAGCTGCTGTCTGGAGTCAGGTGGTCGGTGGGGCTGGGGCCGTGGCACGGGAGGCCTGTGCCCCTCAGTCCCCGCTCCTGGCCGCATTGCCTCATCTCTACGGGTTCCCAAGCCCACCTTCCCCTCACCTCTCAAGCTGTTTCCAGGTAGATATTTTGCTTTCTTCTAGTTCTGCCCCATGGCGGCCCTGGGGCCGTATTTTACACTCAGCTTATCGCTTCTCTGTCTTGTTCTTGATTTCTGAGTAGGACCACCGAATTATGCATTGAAATAAAATGCCTGACTCAGCTGCTTCCCGTGGCGGCCGGAGCTCTGGTCTCTGAAGTGCTCAGAGCTCCCCTGTGTGGTCCCCGTGGGCCTGAGCCCACCGTATACCCTTCTCCTTCCTCCACCCTAGGTTCAGTATTTTCTCTCTCTCTCTGCAAAGAGAACTTCAAACACTTCCTTTGTCACTGCTCTGCATTCATTAAGATATTTTCAACTTTTTTCAGGGGAGGGAGGTTGGGAGGGCAGGGACACCTCTTTCACTCCAAGAAAGAGGGGCAAACTTTTGTAACAAGGTGAGAGAACGCCTGGTAGCTGAGAGGCTCTCATTGCTTTTATTATTGGACTTTTGGGGGATAAAAAAGCAGGGCCATGTTTTGACCTGTGGGTGCTGCCTTTTCCAGGCTGCAGCTCAGGTGGAGGGGAGGAACCAGGTGAGATAAAGGTTTGGGCACCCCCTAGCAGTCAGACCAAGATGTCCTCAGCCTCTTCCATAACCTGCTCATGGGGTTAGCCTTGTGCCCGTGTTGATGACACAGGGCCTGGAGGGTGACAGAGAGTGGACTGGGCAGTTCTGGCTTTTGCCACATGAGCCGCCTGGTTTGACCAGAAAGAGGGCTTCATTCCCGTCAGATTTACAGAAAATAATTTCTCACTCTCATCACTTTCTATTTCAAGCAACTGCAGATGCAGCTGTTTTGGAGGCAGCAAAAAAGGCTCAGGTACAGGGGTTGAGCCCGAGTGTCAGCTGTGGGAGAGCTGGTCAAGGGCTGAGCTTGGGGTAGCACTGCAGGGCCGGGTGATGGGAAGGCAATGGAGGCACCCACTGTGGCTGCACCTTCCACTCTGTGAGGGCAGCTCATGGGGTAGCACCAGGAGGCCTGGTTTGCTGTCCTGGCTTTGCCCTGTGCTCCCAGGCAAGTCACCCTCTCTCCCATTTAGCCTTGATTTCCTCCTCTGCAGCGGGGGTGCTGGCACTAGCTCCTGGGGAAGTCACCTGCATGCGTGCATTCATGTGTGTGTGTGTGTGCGGTTCCTGATCATGCTCTGCAGGCAAACGTGTAAACAGACTCTGAGTATTTGAGGAGTGAGGCAGGACCGGCTACCTTCGCATGGTACCGGGGAGCTAGGAACTGGGTTCCCCCTCTGAGGCCAGATACCAGGAGGTCAGAGCTGGGAAGCCACCTTCCAACTCTGGGGAAACAGTGTCCAGTAAGCACAGGGCTGATTCAGGGCACTGGCGGTCTTAGCACTGCTGCCCTCCTTGGTTAACAGTGGCTCTGATTTTGAAGAGCCAAAACCATGGTGCCTTTCAGCACCTGCAAAGGAAGGAGTTTATCAGGTTTCTGGGCAGCGGTGGGTGTGGGCACCTTGGAGAAGAGAACAAGTTTTTGGCAAGGATCATCCTCAGCATCTTGTGGTTTTATAGCTAATATCCACCATCACCTAAGTGGTCACATGTCACCCCTCTGAAGTGCTCAGAGGCAGCCATGCCAGTGCTCTCCTTGCTGTTTAACAACTTACATAATTTAAATAAAAAGAGGAATTAAGATTATAATGCAAATGTAAGAGTGAGACAGACTTTAGTTTATAAAACGACAAACCTGACATCTTCACAAATGGACAAGAGATGCTAGCTTTGTTAAGCGGTGAGTTCCTCGTCCCTGGGGGTATGTAAGCAGTGTCTGAGAATCTGCATGCTGTGGGTGTTGTGGTGGGTGTTCACTTATTAGATGGGGCTAGATGACCTGGTTTGGGGGGTTCCCTTCCCATCCTGAGAGCCACAGCTGGGTCTGGGGGAAGAAGGAAAGCAAGTTAGGCGGCACGTACCTGCGCTTCTCGTTCCAGGCGTTGTACCACTTGATGAAGCGCTTGGTGCTCTGCAGCTTGGGGTGCAGGCAGTGCTCTTGACCTCGGTACCTGGACACGCTCTTGGTGGTGATGCTGAAATGGAGCAGGATGAGGTGGAGGGTTGAGGAGCCTGAATAACATGTTGCCCCTCATGTGGCCTGTGGGTGGCCCTGGTTAGAGCCTGGTCCCTTAGAGACTGTGATTTCCTCCCTCCTCTCAAGGGAGCCTACTTATGTGCTCACTCCCTGGCTGGCTCTTTGGAAGGTTCTGGGTGTTCCTTATTCTCCGACTCCATATTCAGGCCTAACCCTATATGGAGTGAGCAGCCCTCACTTTTCCCTTCAAAGCCCTGAGAGTCTGGGATGGTCTCTCTCCCACCCCCAACCTCATACAGTGTCTTGTCTCCAGGGCTCAGGCCTCTTTTGGGGAACAAAGGTTAGAGGACTCTTCCAGCCCCTCTGAGCCTGGGATCAGGAGGTGGAGAAAGCTAACGCCAGCAAGGAGCACGTGCCAAGACCTCTGTCCTTGGATTTGAGGAGCTCATGGTAGGGCTGAGACATGCCCTGCAGACACTCTGCTTTCTGTCTCCTCAACTAGTTCCCTGACCCACTGCAGATTGCCCCGGGGCTGGACACCTCCTGATCCTGAGGCAAAGTCTTATTGGCCTTGTGTGAGGTCCCAGATGTCTCACCCCTGAGCAGAAAAGCAAGACTTCTCTTCTGCACAGCCTGAAGATCTCAGGCCTCTATCAGCCAATGTCCTGACACCCAGCAGAAGCCTAGCCATGTGGTAGAGAAGCAGGTGTTGTGCAGACTGTAGGAGCCTGGGACTGAATCTCAAGTTTGGCTGTGGGACCTTGGGAAACCTCTCTGAATCCAGTTTGGTCATCTGTAAAATGTGTACAATAATAGGACTGTCTTGGGGGTTACTGGGATGGTTAAAAGATACAATCTTTACAAAGTGCCCAGGACCTGGTGGATGCACAGTTAATAGTTACTGTTATTAGCCATCGTCATGGAAGAGGAAGTGGCTGAGGGGAAGGAGTAGCCTTGCGGTGTGGGCTCCAGCCTGGTGGGCGGGCAAGCTTGCGCCTCAGAACTTCTGAGCCCCTCTCATCCAGGGCTGGGCCCCAGGGCTGACAGGAGGTAGGGGAATGAGGGACCACCTGGGGTATTTGGAAAAGTGCAAGGTGAGTGTTTAGGATGCCACTTCTTGAGGGTTCACAGCCAAGCAAGCTATGGTGGTAGACTGTGATGCTGGGATGGGCTTGGAGGGCAAAGAGGGGAGACTGGAAGTGAGAGTGGACAGAGTGAGAAGAGAGGCACAGAGGTTAGCTAGTTCCCCACTGTTACCAAATGGAAAGTGTCAGAGCTCATGGGCTAAGTTCTAGAAGCAGGCAGGATTGCCACGACGTCAGTCTCCCAATTGATGGGGAAAGAAAATCGGATCTTGCCACCAGAATGTGGCATAATGTTCCCGGGCAGCCTGTTCTCTTCCCTTCTCCGTCTTCTGGGTTTCTGGGGTCCCCTAGGGCCTAAGCTCCCAGGCTGGGTCTTCCTGCTGATGCCAGGTGATGGCTCCTGCCTTGACTGGACCCCTCTGTGACCCAGGTCATCCTGTAGCCTTGAGCACAGGCCAGGCTTCAGAGTGAACTCTGGCTGTCTCTCTCCCGCACTGTACCCAGTCACCCTGCAGGAATTTAGCAAATGCTTTTCTCTTTCTGCCTACAAGGCTGCTTTTGCATTCTGAAGGAAAGGACAGGCAACGCCTGATAAAAACCCTTTTCTCAGTGAGGTCAGCGTGCAGGCTGCCTATCCCAAATCCTGAAGGTCAAAGAGAACAGGAAGGGATGCTCAGCCCTCCCACTGTAGTGCTCAAATGCCACGTCATAATGCTGGGATTATGAAAATCAATTGTGGAGGGCAGACATGGCGATTTGTGACTCCAGCAACTATCAGAAATTCTGAGTTCTGCGACCCTGTCTTACACAGTTCTGGGGGGTGTAAGGGGTTTTGGTGAGAGCTCCATGGACCTATGACACAAATTGCCCTTTTTAGAATCCAGACTCTTCTGGATTCCTCTGGGTGCAAGGACTCCCACTTGCAAAGCGGACCTTTCCCTCCTGCCCCTGCCCCAACCCCAGCCTCAGCAAAGATTTCTGGGTGACTCAGGGTGAGCTGGAAAACTTGCTTTTGTTCAGCCTTTGTGGCTGAAAACCTGCTTTGGCAAAAGTGCTGGCCCCTCATCTGATCTGGAGAGTTTTAGGATTGTGGATGGGGATAGGAGCCCCCAGCCCTCGGGGATGGAGTGGGAGGCTCTGGGGGTGGGGTGG